TGTCGTATTCCTCTTCATAGATAGTTGGGAAGGATATATTTTGCACTAACCAGAATATTCAAGATAATATCGATTTATTCAAAAATACTTCATAAATACATAGAGGGTTTAATATTTATTGGTGTGGTGTGGTTAAAAACATTTAGAATGTAAGTGAGCATTAAAATGTGTGCACGAAAAGAGAAGCAGGTAATAACTTGTTAAAGGTTAAACAAACATGCACAACGAACAATTTAGTAAAAACAAAATCAACTAAAGAACACTGAACTTGACGGTGAGAGACAGACAGTTGGAGAAAAACCTCATACACCACTTCACAGAGAAAGACCTCAGCTGACCAGCTGCTTCACTCACTTCATACCACATCTTCTTGCTGCAAGGCAGTATCCCATATCACTGATCCAAAGAAGGACAATAACTTAAGAGCAGAATGTTTGCTTTGTTTTTTTTTTTTAGGTATAATCTCATCTAGATGGGTTAATGTGGCTGGAAGTATGTGCAAATATCAGGCTTGCAGGCATTAAAAAAAATAAATGAAAAATGAGTAAAGCGTAACCACCGCTGTGGGTGCCTGTCCTTTATTATTTGTACTTAATTTTCCTTCATAAGAGTGGCTTTATGTACAAAATAAAGATTAAACTAGTCAAGAAGAAGGCGACAAAATGTCTTGCTCTAAATTCACAGAGGCAGAAATGCATGCTTAATTGTGTCTTCTGGAGTCGCCATTAAAACTGCATTTGCATAAACAAAAATATTTGGTGATGACAGAAGCTCTTTCCTCCATATTCCTTCCATAATTTTGACTTCTTGACATGACAGAAGTGTTGCAACACGTCTATTTTTGGCAGGTATGTAAATGAAAGAGTACACAGCAGATCAGACAAAAACCCACCAACCTTAGTGTGTCCCTTCACAAGAACAAACAGGACATTGTTTGGAGCACCATCCTGTAATCTACATGTCAACAGGGGCAAGTTTCTTTGCAGCAGTGACAGTTTTTGAAACACTTCCCAAACATCTACCTTAACAACAAAGCCTGTGTGACCTTTTTAGAGAACACAGGCCTGTAGTTAATTTGAGGGGTAGACCAGTGCTTGTCACTGCCTGTGCATTCAGTTTATTCAGCAGACCGGAGATGCAACATGACTGAATTGTATCTGAAGCCGATGCACTGTCAAAACCCCGAGATGCAGATCTTTTGACCAAAGGCTTGGTACATGGTGCAAAGGCAAAACAGAATCAGAAAGACAATGACATGAAGGGAAATGTCTCCATTGTGGCCATTTTCAATGAATGACAAAGTGAAATAATTTGTGATGATCCCCCGAGGGCAGTGCCTGGATGAAAGCTGAATTTAGATGACACATGTCAGGCTCAAATAAAGGAGAATAGCTAAGGGATGCCTACATGGATTTAATAATGCTCAATTGTGAAACAAAGACATCTCTCTCCCTTAGATGTCTCAGTGCAAAAACTAGGAAATCCTTTGACTCCGTTTACATTTCAAAGTCTATTTCTGCACAGTGGGTATTCATGCATGCAAAAATCGCCAAATGTGTTTTTTACAGGAGAGGAAAACTGCATTTATTAGCCCTCATAACATCCAAATTAAGAAAGAGAGTGGAGTTTGTGCTGATGCTGGAAAGGGACTAATGACTGCAGCTTTACCCCCCACCAACACGTCTCCATACATATTTCACTTAATCCTGTTTGGTAACAGTGAGGTCAACAATTTAAGTCCAGTGAACCTTTGCAGTGACAAAAAACAAACAATAAATAGCAACAAAAATCGTTTAATCATCTTTTGTAATGATAAACCTGCTGTTGTAGACAAGCTTATTTATGTAGTGCTTTAAAAAAAGTCATTATCACTTTTGTTTTGAAGGATGTTTGGTTATTTTTAAGCTTAAGTTACAGTTTTAACAGGCAGTTTCATGTAACGAATTGACAATTAAAATAATAATAATAAAAAAAACACGTAAAACTTCACGTAAAACTTTTTAGCACAAACATACATTTTTACACATCGACCCCGAATGTAACACCAAGTGTCTAATTTAGTCATTGTTTTCATTGGCAGAAAAGTCCAAAAGTAGGAATATTGTTACCTCCGGACGACAGTTCGAGCAGGAGCGACCACCAAAGGAGACCGCAGAACCACAACTTCTTCTTGGTGTTGTTCCCATTAGAGTCCATGTTTACTGTCTCTTTGGACACAGTTACTTTCAACGAAATTTGTATTCACATTTTTACCGAATGTTGTTCTCTCCTTCGTGCTTCGGTTCCGTCCAGATGACCAACAAATCACTTAAACGGAGCGGAGTGGAGTGTATGTCCCTTTCGCAGCTCTGCAGAAGCGGACCCTCTCAGAACTCCGCCTCGTGCGCGAACCATAGGCGTGAAATTTCAAAATAAAAGCTGAATAGTATAGAATAGAAATTCAGGAGTAACACCCGCATGTCAAAGGTAACTAGAAGCTTGCACATTCAGACTTAATTCAAAAAATGTATTCATAAAAAGTGAAAATAAGAATGAGACTGCACAGTTATCATTAAAAATAGCTCCGTTTGAAAGAAATGTGCAACTAAATAGTTGCTCAAAAATGTACAAAATGTTTATGTTTATTTCTGTATAAAACACAGACTATTTCCAAAAAATGTAAAAAAAAAAAGACAATAACATCAAGAATGTTATTTGAAACAACAACTATACAGATAATGTTTGAAAGAAATAACTCTGTGCAAATAGCAAGGATGTAAACACGAAGGATTATTGAGATTCATTTAAAAAACTAGGAAAAAAATCCGTATTATGTAAAACCATAAGGATCCATTGGCCTACTAAGAAAATAGGTCAATTTACTGTGTAGTATTAGTGTATGTCACATCAGACTGCTAAGGAAGCCAAGCTTGTTTTAATAGTGACCTTCATCTCATCTATATTGTCAGGTGGTGTCTCATCTTCCTCTTGACAACACAGGATAGATTCCCCACTAGGTTTAGGTCAGACCATTAAGCACAAGGATATTATACCATAGTCTAATAGAATTATACCATGACTCAAGAAACATTGACTCCATCTGTAGTCCATACATCTTTAAATCCCTCCAAACTATTAAATTCACAGTCCTGCTAGCATCCCTGTTACTTATCCAGACTTATCTATGACATTTTTTCCTTTCACGCAACTTTCTATGTTCTTTAATATTCTTGAACACAGCCAAATTCTTTATCAGTGACCCTTCCTGGCTTACCCTCATTGTGGACAGTGTCCACAGGGACCGTCTGCTGGGAAACTGTCAAGTCAGAAGTCTTCTCCGCAATGTCTGCATTACATTTCTGAGAAACTGAATTTTGTGTTTCCATGAACTAAATGTCGTAGTAAAAAAAAAAGCTTACATTTTACTCAAAAACTGCATACCAAAAATGATTTATACCCTTTTCAGTAATCTGTAGAAAAAGTCTTTATTGGTGTCACAGTAATCAAAGCATTTATTGCTCACATTGTTTTTGTATTTTTTTCACTGGTATTTTGACTTCATTTATCTTTAGTAAGAAACTCCACATTGTTGAGGCTGGATGGCCTTCATCCATCATCCTAGCACAAGATTCAAGTACGTACTCTGGCTGGGCAGCTCCAAAATATTAATATTACTTCAAATCAGAAGAAACATGTTGGTGAAATTAAAACTTTACTTTAAAACTAATTCTGCATGGAGTATCAACAGTTTTGATATCAAAACTGTTATCAGGAAAAAAACATTACAAACAATGTGTTTTTATGCTACTTTTGTCATTTTGATTCAAAATAATGTTTTGTATAATACTTTCTACTGTGTTTTATGTCACCCAAAAATTATTTCATGTTTGAAATATTTTCATTTTTCACTTTTTTAAACGTTTTTAGAACAATTTGTAGAACATTTTTAAAACAAAATGACAACAGCAGCAATTTTACAACAACAATGATGAAATGTCAATAATGGACAATGTTAACATCCATTATGTGTGTGTGGGCATGGGGGGGTACGAAAGAGCACGTTTCTTGAAACTAGCTAGCTAACCAAGCTAGCTAACATTACTGTCTCTATTCTATTATGCTGTGTGTATCACGCATGTGAGTGTGTGTATGTGTGTGATCCATCCATCCATCCATCCATCCAATCCGCCTATCGATCTCCTGCTCCATTTTTCCCTCATTGGTGAACAAGATCCCGAGATACTTGAACTCCTCCACTTGGGACAGGACATCCTCCCCGACCCAAAGAAGGCACTCTATACTTTTCTGGCTCGTTTATTTAAACATTTATTTCTATAGCTATGAATTTTTATTTTATTTATTGAGATGATAAAAGAAAGAACCTTGAACACATTGATCAACAGGTTTTGTATGTCATTCAACACACTCTCTCTCTTGGTTTTCTCATCCAGGGTTTCAGACACACACAGAGACACACACAAATAATACACATGTACAATAAAGTACAGGTGGTAATGTTAGCTAGTTGGTTAGATAGCTAGTGTTAGCTAACTTTGAAGAAGGCTAATATGTTGATTCGTGACAATAACGCTGTCACAGTACTCATGATTGACACACACAAACACATTTGTGAGATAAAAAATAAAGATAATACTTATATGTAAGAGTTCTTGCTGTGTAAAATAATATTATTCAGGGGTGACACTTAGGTCTCAGTGTGTTTGGTTCACAAAAAAATGGTTTCCTGACAGTCACAGTTGGTAAGAGAAAGATTCCCATTAAATTCCATAGGAAATGAATGCGGGTCATTTTGGACCCACACACGGAAGACTGGGGTCGTAATATAAAACATGCTATTTCTTAAAATGTATAAAAGGTAAATTAAAAATTTGAATTGCATGATATCAGTAACATGTTTCTTGAGGAACACCTGGAATATGAAGTGATGAAAACTTTTCATTACAAAGATATTGGAAAAAGATGACCTCACCGGGTCAAAAAGGACCCAGTTACACATCAGAGGGTTAAGGTGCATTTAATATTAATAACATAAATGTTATGCTATTGGTATTAAACATCACAACATTCAAGCTGATTTTATCATACAAAATAAATTATATTTAATTATATTTAACACAACAAATAATATGATCAATGTTGTGCATCTGCATTCACTTCAAAACCATTAACCTAAGAATATGAGGTACTGCTTCTGCAATTTGACTCCAGTAGTAATAATAATAATAATAATACTATTTTAACATAGTATTATATACACATCTCTTAATAAAACAGTTGATATGTAGAAGTTTGACCTCACTTTGTATTCAGCTAATCTTTTTCAGTCTTGATTTCATAACAGGCAGCTGTGGCTCAGGTGGTGGTGGACGTTTTCTGCGCTGAACTCAGACGTACTGGCTGTCTGTGGTGAATGCAGCGTGTAAAAGAAACACTGCTTAGGGCTGTGAAGGCACAAACAGACCATTTATTGTTTAGGCTTTCTGATTTTGGATAGAAAGCAGCTAAATAATAATTTTTTTTAGTTTATTATAATTATAAAATCAAAACAACAAAAAAACTAAAACATTTTGTGGCATTAGAGCAGATGCTGTGCAATATGTGAGTCCCTGGCAGCTGATGTTTGCAGACCCAGACACTGCCCTGATAGGCTGTTAACAGGTACCTAGGAGTTTCCTGAACTCGCGTTCGATGCATCTGAAGATCGGATGGTAGAAGCGCCTGGTTGACAGCATGAGGTCAGTGACCATCTCAGTGTGGTTGACGGTAGGAAGCAGGTGGAGCGACACATTTCCGGACAGGGAAGAGAGGAGCTTGTAGAACTTTGTGGAAGACTCAACCGGAACAACGATGTCACAATTCCCGTGAAGCAAAACGAACCGCGGAGCTCTGGAGAAAGGGAAATGTCAGGAAAGACGTTTTTGCTGCAGCAGTCAAAAACATTACACAAGAAACAAATGTCAGGATACTTCTTGAGTTTGCATCTCACCTGCTCAACTTGTCACCACTAAGGTGCTGTACTATATGCATGGGTGAGTAGCGTGGAAAGTTTTTCTCCCCATTCATGGCCCTTGACATACAAGAGACGTACTCGATTCCTCGCTTCTTCTCATGCTCATAATGGTCCATGATGCTGTAAACACCACTCATCCCAATTTAGGAAGCACAAAAAGACAAGTTACATATAAATAGGAAAATAATAAAGGTTAAAAGCAATAAATTACTAAAATGGACTTATAATTAACGCATAATGATGTCAATTACAGAAACAATATATAAAAACATGAAATAGTCAGATGTTTAATTTATTTTGGGTCCTTTTAAAACACATATTTTGCTTAAAAAGACATATGGATGTTCATACCAATAACTCCTCGTATTGACTGTAAAATCTGCTGCTGTTTCTTTGACTCTATCACCAGCTCCTCTCGTGTGTCAAGGAGAAATAGTGCGGTCATTGCACCCAAATGAGCACCTGCTGAATGGCCAACTAAAACAATGTTGTCCTAAAAAGACAAAAAACAGGGTTTATTAAAGCATATTTCACATCAAGACCCTTGAATTTAACGTAATATATCATGACAATCATAACTATAATAACTCTTAAAGAAAACATCAGTATTAGAAGTTGTCGATAAATAACAGATCAAATAGGACCCATGCTAATTGAGAGAAAATAATTACAAAAAAACGTGGACATGAATATAATTTTGTCATTATACTTTTATTGTTTTATTTAAATTATTTTTGTGGCATTTGTTCCAGCTGCAGCAAATATTAGAAAGAAGAATTGGGTGAACATTGTTTGAATTAGTTGTTGGTTTTCTCGGAGTTGCACAAAGACATTACAAACAGCAATCTGCAGCAGGACCACTTATTGTTACTGCAATCTTTCAATAAAACAAAGAAGAAGGGAACAAAAGGGACAAATCTGTTTGACACAATATTTTTGCTTACATTGAAGAAAAGTGCAGTTTCCTAACTTTTGGGTAAAATGTTCTCTATTTTGTTAGTCAATGAGATGTTTTTGCCAGTTTCCTGCAACTTTCTTGGAAATTTCTTTCAGTACTTTGTCAAGTTTAATGAATGCTGTGGTGTAAAATAAAATGGAAAGAAAACTAATTTGTGTTGGTTTTGTAATTTCAAACATCAAATACCCGTTTTTGACATCACTGATGTTTTTTTTTTTGTTTTTTTTTTACCATTCTCACTTAAAATGATAAATGAATTTGATCCTTAGCCAAGATAAGTGTATGTGACCTGAGCTTTATTTAATAAATAGATATGGAGTCAGGATATTCTCCGATTTATGCAATGATTATCAAGTCTGATCTACTTTCTTTAAAACTTAGAGAGCATCTTACCTTGTCAAAGCTGAACTTCTGTCCGTTCTCTTGAGCCCAAATCAAACAGTCTGCAATATCTTGAATCATCATTAGAACATTCCCCTGAAATGAGAAAGAATCAACAGTGCATTTTATAAACCAGTTCAGGTTTTTGAAAAGCTCTCTGACAAACCTTGGTTTATTGCTGCTTCCCCAAAGAGCCATTATTACTGGAGTATGTTGCAGTTGGAGCCTTTCATTTATATTTATTACACACAAAAAAAATGACCAGAAACTGACATCGTGCCTTTATTACCTTTGGATAAGTACAGTAATCTGGACAAACAACAGCTGTATCCAGTTCTTCAGTCATCTGCCTCGCCAGTAAACAGTAAATGGATCTGTGTCCAGTGCTCCACGCACCACCATAGATAAACACGACCAGAGGTGGAAGCTCATCTGTATTCTGTATCGGGGGGTAATACAAGTCCAGCTTGTTGCCGCGACGCCCATAAACAATGCCCTTCCAAAGGAAAGCAAGAAAACCAGAGGTTACTGATAAGATTTTGCAAAAACTTATCATATTTATTACGATTAAGTACAAAACTGACAAGTACATTTTTTATAATGTTCACACCTTTTTGCAGTGCTTAGAGTTCTCCTCGTTTCTATACCAGGACTTAATCTGAAAATGCAATTTCCAATACTGAAAGTATTTAAGAAGATCCAACGTAGCAAAGGTCAAACGGTATATCCGCCTGATTGAATGATAAAACATTTTAAAAAGACAATTAAAACCTCTTCTAAATAACCAAATATGTTGTACCAAAGGACATTATGTGGTTGTTAAGCCCTAAACAAAAAGAATTGCACAAATTACCTTGGATTCAGAGCTTCTATGTACTTTTTGTACCCAGGCTTGTCTGGCCAGCCACAGAACCACTGGGCCACAAAACAGACAAAGTACGGGAGGCCCACAAACAGAAAACCCACGATAACAGGCAAACACCAACACCTTTCAAAGAATTGAAAATATATAAACATATTTCAATTATTTAACAAAAGTAATTTTTGATGTTTAACATTCTGTATTTAGAAAGACTTACATATTGTGAATTAGTCTACTCCTTCTGCAGACAAAAAAAAAAGACAAAACATTCAATTCAGGAGTTGAAACATTTTACTGCAGCTGAAATAAGCAAAATAAAACTTTACAAACGGCTTCAATTGCAATTTCAGGCTCAACTTATGTGAAGTAAATTATGTATATTTTATAAAGAGCCCTTCATTTTTTTCTTCTTGCTCTTCATTTTTGTTTATTTTACTTTAAAAATTAAAGTCACTTCACCCACTTTGCCTGCAGGTAGTGGTAGCAAAGTGCATTGCTGCAATGCACTGAGGTAGCCAGTGCATTGCAGCCTTGCTTCCGTCAAACTGCTGCAGGGCAGCTGTAGCTACAACGTAGCTTGCCACGATTAGTGTGAATGTGCATGTGAATGTAGTGACAAGCCCTTTGGGGTCCTCGGCTCTTGATAAAGCTCTACTTGAGTACTACTATACAAGCTCTTGCAGGATTTCTCAGATCTACAAAGAATTGTTCAAAGGTTAGAAAATATCCTGTGAGCAGCAGCTGGGTAGATGAAAACAGCCTTAATGTTGTTTGGAGAATGAGCAGAGTGCTCCAGAGGACAGAAAGACAGCAGCTCAAAAAAACAAAACAAAAAAAAAACTTTTTTGAATATTATATCAAAATGCAAAACATGTTTACCACATTGGGTGCCTCTTGTCAGCTAAGAACAGAAAATTGAGGCTACAAAACAGGACAATGAGAGATGTAATTTACTTATTTACGTCTGTTAATTGATCACTGGTAAGGAGACTGCAATAATGAACCTAAAATGTTTGAGAAAACCTCAACTTTGATGAAAACTGCCCTAGTATGCCCTCTAGCGGTATTTTACATTATCACTCATCTAGGCAAACAAAAATTGCTCAAAACATCTCTTGAGTTAAATCATTCAGCTTTATTTTCAACAGCAGATTTAAAAACAAACAGTGGACCAAAGTGCTGTAGTATTAGTCCAAGTAATAAGAATGGCGTCTGAAAATATGCAACAATCAAAATGATATATAAAAACCAAGTGAATACAAAATCACAGAAAGAAATCTAGCAGTAAAATCAACAACCAACTGTGGCTACGGGGTCTGACTGATGCTAAAATAAACTGAGTTATAACAGTTTAATCTGGAAGTTAAATAATGTGATTATAACTGTTTTATCAATAAAGATACAGTAAGTTAGCAGAAAAACTTTTCTTTCTGGAGGCAAAATGGGAGATTTGCTCTGGATCAATGTAACAGATAGTATGTAACACAGGATGGGTTTTCAGGACTAGGGGCATTTAAAGATGGTTATAATTTGCAGAAGAGTTGAAATAAAAGTTATATTTATAAAATCTATGATGCAAGAGAATGAACAGTGTAATCAAAACTGATTGAGCCTTGCAGAACTCTAATTTCAACAGGGAACAACCAGTGATAGATAACACTCTAAATCCCAAACAGATCCTTGAGGCAACATAGAATGACAATGAAATGTACTATTAGAAGTATTAAGTATTGCTTAATACTAGAATGAAATGTTACATTTATAATATAAGGAGAGCAAAAATAGTCAGACCCCAAAACTGAGACCTGCTGAGAAAGATTAATTTCTGATTTCAACAGAGATGAATCTATTGTTTTGAAAGGGCGTCTTTCACAGACGAACCGAAACACTGAATCCCAGCCTGATATCCAGTGAATCGACAGATGGTATTAAAAGTTGCAGTTAGATCTAACAAAATAACAGTAGCACATTTACAACTTTGTTGTTTTGTTTGGCCCAGCAGGAGTTTGAAAAAGAAAAGCCACCAAGTTTCTGTAAAAGTAACTTAATCTCGTCACCTGCTTTTTACAAAGCAGGTCTCTGTTTAGGCTCACCTGACAAACAGAACAGTTGGGTCTCCCGCTCAGTGTTTGCAAGCCTCAGCTGACTCACGTCTGACAAATAGTAACACCCGAGGAGCTGACTAAATATAACTCATTGCTATCAGAGTCTGTTCCTACTATTTGAACAAAAATAGAAGGTAACTTCTTAAATAGCTGTCAAAGGATGCGTCAACAGTCAAAGTCCGTTGTTGGGGCTTCCCCGCTGATCTGGATAATCCATATTTAACTTCCGGTTTGGAAGCGGACGAGGTCAGAAATTAATTTACATTCATTTGCATCGGTTCAGTGTTTCAAAGTTTGCACACAGGTAAAACAGTTCGGATTTCTCAAACTGCTATCTCTACTCAGCTCAATAATGTGGAAACACTTCAGGTTTCCCTGAATGAATTAAATGTTGATTTAGTGATTCTGGGCGAAAAGGCGGATTACTATCTTGAACTTATTCACATCTCTGTATTGGCGCACCGGAAATCATTGTTGGAGTGAATGAGATGGTGAATAAATAAGTTCAAAATCAATCAATAATAATAAAATGAATAAATATTATAAATACCCATACCATCAAATAAATAAATGTGCCCAGGAAAAAACAAAATAAATATTGAAAATATATTTTTTAATATTTTCTTTCATTTCGTTGGAATATTTAGTCTGATGTAATATGTAATATATTTTATGTATTTAATTAATTTAGCAGCTTTAGTTGTATAGTATTTAGCCTTTTAGAAAATAAGATTTATTTTTAAGTTATTTAAAAAAGATTCAATATTAATTTTCAAATATAGATCCACCCACAATTTTGGCATTTTGACTAAGTATTTGATTTCCATAGCTGTACGCTGCTGACTCTAACCCTAATAAATCTTCATCAAAAATATAAAATTCAACATTTAAGGCATTTAAAATAAAATATATTACAAACAATAAAATATATATTCTTTATTAAATCTAACTTTTCTAGTGTGTCATTCAAAATTACATCCGAGTGAAAAAAAACCCCAAAACATTTACTATTCTTCTTTTTTCAGTTCAGCATTAATTTTCCATCCAGGTGAACTCTGACCATGTGTTATTCCTCACTACATCTGATTCATTCTTGCAGTGTTTGCAATGTCTTTACAGTGAAGATGAGAATGCTGATTGCCACCCCACCTGTTGTACCAGTGAAACGTCTATGTGAGGGTCTGGCCAGTGGCCACTTTACACTGTTGACCTGACAAAGATCCAAATCTGTTCAAAATGCGCCAGCTACTGAAATATTATTCCCACTGCAAATATCAAGTATTTAGGCTTTTCTCTACTCAATTTAAAGTCATTGGACATGCAGTCATTTATTAGTTTGCATAGCTACATCTTTTTATTTGGATTTCTGTAGTATTAGTGCTTATCATGTTAATAAAATACATACAGTGGAGGTTGATAGCACTCTCTATTCTGTTTAATCTCTTTTAGTGCAGCCAGTCTCCATAAATGGGCAGCAGTGGCTCAGGTAGGGTTGTATTGTTATCTTGTTTCCTGGTTCATGGTTCAGTCCACACCCTCATAACTAAACTCTGAGTCAAACTGACAGTCTGCTGGAACTGGAGTGTGAATGAGAAACACTGCTCAGGGCTGAAATGTATTATTTATTTTTACCATTACCCTCCCACCAAGACTGGATAAATTAGGATTATTTGACGTACAAGTAATCCTAATTTACTAACCTTCATACAGCTCTGGAAAAAATTAATAGACTTAAAACAATCAGTTTCTCTGACTTTACTACTGGCAGGTTTATGTTTGAGTAAAATGAACACTGTTCTTTTATTCTATGAACTACTGACAACATATGTTTAAAATAAAACATTATATTCACCATCAATACTGATTAATGGTGAATATAATTTAGAATTTAAGTACTAAATTCCAGGCAAAAAATTAGTATTTATATGTGGAAAATGAGAAATGGTCAAAATAACAAAAAAGATGCAGCACTTTCAGTCCTCAAGCAAGTTCATATTCATTTAGAAACAAGAATACTAACGCTTTATTTCAGGAAGAGTTCAGAAATCAATATGTGGAGGATAACTATGAGGTTTTCAATGAGGTTCAGTGCAGTGGTCTCTTAATTTTTTTCCCAAAGTTGTATATAAAAAGCACTCAGTCCAAGAATTACAAATAAAACAAATATGCTATAATAATCATTTGTTTACAAGCTAAGACTCTAAATAAATTGTTAAGAGGGACCCAGAAGTTTCCTGAACTCCTGTTGGATACATCTGAAGATGGGCCGGTAGTAGGGTCTGCTTGGCAGCATGAGGTCGATGACCATCTCATTGTGGTGGACTCCACCAAGCAGATGGAGCGACACCTTTACGGACAGAGAGGTGAGGAGCTCGTAGAACTTCACAGAAGAATCAGCTAGAACAACAATGTCACAATCTCCATGAAGCAAAACGAACTGAGGCACTCTGGAAGCCAAGAAAAATGAACACCGTCAGTGACGATGTATGGCAGATTATTAAAATAAATACATAAATTAGGAAACAGATTTCAGGATATTGCTCTAGTTTGTCTCTCACCTGCTCAGCTGTTCTTTGCTGAGCTTCTTCACTATGTGAACTGGTGAGTAGTACGGAAAGTTTTCCTCTCCATTCATGGCTCTTGTCATCGATGAAAGGTACTCAATTCCTCGCTTCTGCTCATGCTCATAATATTCCACAATGTTGTAGATCCCACTCAGACCCGTCAAGGGAACCTATAAAAAAAATTATTAATAAATTAAATAAATAAAATTATATATATATATATATATATATATATATATATATATATATAAATAAATAAAATTAAATAAATTAATTAATTAATTAATAAAAATTATTATAAATTATTAAGGACAATCTAAAATAAGCTGTAATGACTAATAAATAAAAGCCTGTTTAAGGAAATGATTCATTTCTTCAACTTTTTTAGCATGGCCTTGTTTTCATACAGTGTGCAGATAAATGTAATACGTACCAATAACTCCTCGTATAGATGAAGCAGTTTCCCGCTGTTTCTTTGAGTCTATGAACAACTCGTCTCTTGCATCAGTAAGAAAGAGCGTGGCAGGAGTGGCCAGATGAGCTCCTGATGAATGACCAATTACAATAATGTTGTCCTATGAAATAAACACGGAGAAGAAGTTTTCGTCAATGGTTTTTTTTGGGAGAGTGGGGGAAACCAAACAAATTATTAATCGTCCAAAATGTTGACAGTAAATGTTGCAGATTAGGAGGGATATTAATGCACCTCTGTCTGCTTTTTTTTTTTTTTTTTTACTTCTCTGCTCATTTCCAGTGAGCTGAACAGTCAGTTTCCACTGTAAAGCGGCCCAAACATCACATTTTATGTTCATTATAATTGTTGTCACATAAGCATGATGTAATGTTAGGTATCTGCTTACTCAGTGAGAGTCCAACTGGCATTCGAAACGCTCCATTGAATAGACCAGATCACAGCAAACCAAACCGCACTGAACGTTGCCCTGCTGCTCATTTTGAGGCAGAATTGCCTTTTTAAATCAAAATGAGGCAATTTTGAGTTTTATCATCTAGTAAATTGAATTTAATATTCGATATTGGATGAGCTTTCTTGGCAAAATATCCCCCTAAATAAAGGACTTTAATTGCAAGTAAATCAATTGCTAAATTAAGATTAAAATATTTGAAATTAAATTGAAATCTGAATCAAAATTTTCAGGGCAAAGTTTTCAGCAAGACCATAATCCCAATGATTTTTATTTTTCAAGTTTACTTCCCTTAGGATTCCTAAAATGATGCAGCCAAAACACCTTGAATCTAAATGAAGAACAATGGAAAGAACTGAAGATAAGGTTCCACCTTAAGGCACCCATAGCATTCAGGACTTAAAGACAGTTTGTGAGGACAAAAAAAAAGAAAATCAAACCTAAGAAGAGCAAGGGACTAGATTCGCCGTACAGAGATAAACTCAAAATATAAACTGATTAATGTGTCTTCGTGTGAAACTTTCCTTAAAAAATATAAAGCCAAAGTAAAAATATGACAGGCAGAAACGTTTCTTTCTTTGAAACTCACTCATGAAGCAATCCATTTAGTAAAGAGTTAGAGATTTAGTAAATCCTTAAAAGTATAGAAAGAAAGGCTTACCTCATCAAAGCTGAATTTCTGTCCATTCTCTTGCACCCAAATCAAACAGTCTGCAATATCCTGCACCATCGCTAAAACATTCCCGACAAGAACAACAATACGTTTAAAAAAAATCACCTAAATATTCCTATTAACATGCCTTTTTGCTTTCCCTATAGAATGAAGATTGAATTATGAATAACATTACTCACACCACTGCTAAAGAACAACCTGAAAATAAAATATGTATTTTTGGTGTCCCTTAGATTCCACTCCTTGTATCAGTTCTCTTAACACTGAGACATTCATTTTTTTCTCCTTTACCTTCTTGCCACCATATTTGGTGGCAAAATTAACCTGGCTTCTCATCCAGCTTCATTTTTCAGTATTTAACTTGCTTAATTTTTTTTTAATTATTGCTCTGCTTGCATATATGGGTAAGTTCAGGCAAACAGGCAATTTTCTTGTAATCAATTTCTTACGTAAGAAGATCATCACACTCCTGCTTATATAGGATATTTTCTGGTCTTTCTCATTTTGTATTCATATGCAAATTTAGAAAACAGTGTGATCCTTACCTCTGGGTAAGTACAGTAATCTGGACAGATGACAGTAGTATTTAGCTCTTCAGTCATCTGCCTAGCCAGTAAACAGTAAAGGGATCTTTCTCCAGAGCTCCATGCGCCACCATAGATGAAAACCACCACAGGTGCAAGTGTGGCTTCAGACTTGTTTCTTTTAGGTGGATAGTACAAGTCTAGCTTTTTCCCTTTGCGCCCATAAACAATACCCTTTAAGGAAGACAACAATTAATACATTTTTTAAATTTATTTAGGGCAAAATAAGATTATCAAGTATTTTACTTAACACACCTTTTGGTAATACTTGCTATTTTCCTCATTTTTATACCATGACTTCATCTGAAAGTGCAAAATCCCATATTTAAAGTATTTCAGAAGATCCAACGTAACAATTGTCAGACGGTATATCCGCCTAAAAGATTTAAAAACACAATTAATACTATTTTTAATAAACTACAATTGGCAAAAAAAAAAAAATCCACAATATTATGAAAGTTACCTTGGATTTAGAGCTTCTATATACTTCTTATACCCAGGCTTGTCTGGCCAGCCATAATACCACTGAGCAGCAACACAGACAGAATATGGGAGACCCACTAACAGCAAACCAGCAGTCATAAGCATACACCAAAACCTGAAGAAAAAAAAATATATAAATAATTTTATAGTTTCATTTTTGTTAGTGGTTCTTGATTTTGAATATTCTGTTTTCAGAAAGTCTTACATGTTAAGAATCCCTCTACTCCCTAGAGACAGAAAATATGAGAAAACTTAAGAATGAAATTTGACATTAGAAAACAAAGATGGCTCTTTCAAAGAGGAGAGTGTGCTTGCTTTTAAACTGTTTACTAAGGTATTTGATTTTCATGGCTTTAATCAAAGAACAACTTCAATAGACCTAATAATAAATGTGTAAATTGCAAAATGTCTGAACATAAGTTGGTGTACTAACAATTAAGATGAACTTGGAAGACCAAGGGGACTGATACCATATTTCTAGACACACTAATTGTCTATAACAATTATAAGTACTGGTTACTATACAACCACTTAATTATTGGCAGGTGACTTTGATTCACAAACCAAATGTTTTTAACATAAAGGAAACCAGTACAGCTTCAAGTACTATGCCTTCTAGTGGTTCTTTACGCAATTACACACGAAGACAAAGAGGCCATCAAATTCCAACAGTAAAACACACAAGTCATCAAGTCTGGGCAAAAGAAATAAACTATTTTCTCTGCTTTACCGGATTGTGACAAAGCTAATGTAAATAAGAAACCACTCCGTGTTCATGCTTACCAGAAACACAGAAGACGGACTAGGATGTTGCAGCTATATTATCTTCCGGTTAGCCCGAAAATAATGAAAAGCACAACTGTAGAAGCTACGGGTATTAAAAAATAAATACGATGCTAGACAAAGGCATGCTTTATGTACAACCAGATAGCATGGTAACTCATGTAAAAAGGGACGCGACAACATTCAAAGCACGCTTAAACTTTCTACCGATATGCGAACAAAGACTCGCGAGATTTGTCAAGAGTTCTCCTTCTGCTAACTTCCGCTTCAGGTTTCAAGGTCGAAGGATTTTTGTAACAAGTAAATTGAAATTATTTAACATCTGCTTTGTGTCTTGAGGGATTACATAGATGAAAGTGAAATTTTTAAAAATATTTAACCCTCAGATTCAGCTATCTGCAAAAATGTAAGATTTGAAGGAAATGTTGTGTAATTGAGATATAAAGGGAGAGTACTTATCTTGAGATTGTTTGTATTTGTACTGGCGCTCCGGAAACAGTTTTTGTGAATAAAAAAGAAATCAGGCAATCAAGTTGAAATGCATTTCACTACATGTTAAAATACCTTGAACGAATTTTAATACAAGCTATTGTCTGTTTAAAAACTGGCTGGCTCTTAATAATAATACCTCACTTCTCATTAAAGTTTACATATACAAATAAAAGGCGAAATAAATAAATAAATAATAATAAAAAGAACATACACATTCACACACAGGGAATAAAAAAACGTAAAGCCAAGTAAAAGAACAGACTTTTATTCCAAAAACTTAAATTTTGTTTTTGTTAATTTTTTTGTTGGGCTTATGGAGAGCCATAGTTTGGAGCTCACAAAAATCAACAATATATTTTACTTTAAAACAAATGGCCTTAATGCAAAAAACAAAGAAAGAAACAACCCTTCTACCCCTTAAAAATAGCCTTCACACCTTGTAAAAAAATCCCATATAATGGCAGATAGAGGTATTGTGAGTAATAGAATGACTTGTATTCCTGTGCTCAGGAAATCAGCAGCACATACAGCAAATATTCAGCAGGGGGAGGAAGATCTCTATCATCTGTAATTAAATGTATTTTCCATAAGACATGTCGTCTTTTGATCTCTATAGTTAAGGTAGGTAACCTCTTACATTTGTGAAATATTGGGAAAAACTCAACTTTGAACCCAAATGACTCAAATTGAATGATTAATTTAAACAAAAAAATTACAAAGTAATCAACACTTTGCCAACGTGAATCAAAAGATACAGACATGAGATGCACCAAGCCATAGGTGTACAGCTCCAGTCCTCAAGGCCAGCGTCCTGCCAGTTTTAGATGGGCTTCATCTGCTCTGACACAGCTGATTCAAACAGACCAACTATGTCCTCACCATAAAGTTTTAAAGAGGCCTTGTGATAAACCATTATTTGATTAAGGTGTTCTGAAATAGGGAAAGAACTAAAACATGTAGAATGCAGGCTCTGGAGGATTGACCGCTGCTAAGCTATTGGGAATGCTAATAACAATAGTATTTGAAACAGTAATAAACATTTTAACAGGGATTAATAGTCTTAGGGCTTTATAAATCAGCACACACCAGTGAAAAAAAAAGCACAAAGGGTTTAAGATGTGCTGTCTCTAAGTGGCCTCATTGAGGTAAAGCTGTAAAAATAACTGCAGGACTATTTCCAATTATTACACCTCTTAGTTTCACCAAGGCCCGCCGATCACATCCAAACCTCAGTAAATACGTGAGAAGGACAAAGGTTTCTCTGGATTCAGCACTGCACATTCATGGAAAGCAGAGAAGTGGATGAGTGCTGCTGACCACACCGAGGGTTTATTATTGTGTTTGGCAACAAGGAGCGGAGGATCCAGCCATGAGTGGGTGTGAGGTTGTTCCTCCATCTGCCACGATGTGGGGAGTCCCAGGTGTTTTTCTTTTTATTTTTTTTTTTCAAATAAAACCACAGTGGAAATGGACTAATTCTGTGAAAGGCAGCCATTCAGTGACTAATATGAGCAGAGTCAGCCCCAACTGGAACAATTATGGTGGTAAGAAGTCATAGCTTTTACTTGTTTCCTGTTAAACACTGGAATCCTTCCAGGCAATAAATTTATACATAGCGGTATTAAGATAACACAGTTAAACATGCACCTCAATTTATTCCACGAGGACATGAAGCGTGTGTAAACCCAAGCAGTTCTTCACGATCTTGTATTTTGCAGTCAGCTGCAAAATAGCTTGAGCATAAAGCAGCAAAACTCCACTAATGCCAACCTACATTTATGCATTAGTTGCAAAAGAAAGCTGAAAAGCACTGACAAAATGTCACAGCTGGCTTTTTTTTTTTTTTTTTTTTTTTGGCTCCCTGAGCACTTCAGCCCAGTAATATCTTTAGTGCTGCAGAAAACAAAACTGAATCATTGCTCTGTATGTTTATCAGCTAGAAAACGTGCCCTCAGGTCATCACAGCAGCATGGTGAGAAATCAGTTATGAAAAATCTCTTGCTGTATTTCTAATATTATGAAGAAAAGGCTTAAGTAGCTAAATGGAAAATCTGGAGAATGTGACGGTTTAATTGTGAGAATAAGATAGTCGTTGGTTGGTTGGTTTCTACAGTTTTCCAGGCGGAGAAAGGAAATTGATCAAATCCCTATGTTCATAAACAGTGTTGACGTTCGTTGGCTGTAAATCTCACTGCTCCATCATACACTTTACAACTTTTCCTAAGCAGCTCAGAGTGGACTTATTTAATCACGTCTATTACATGACGTTTACTTCCATGTTATTTTCAACATCGATAGGTTACCTTGAATAAAAAGTTACCTGTTGAAGTCAAGCCTCTCTACTGCGTTAAAAGTGCAAGGATTTCTAAGAGCTGTACAAATGAACGTCATTTGCATATAAAATTATATTTTAGAAACTTTACAGATGTACAATATAAATATTATAGAACCAAGAATGGGCTTTGAGGAAACCCACAGCTGATATTCAGTGTTCTCCTTTTCTAACACCTTTATTTTTCTTTAGCAATGAACTTCTCTTATGTGCTGGGAGTGAATGTTTGTTCCTATCTTCTTCCTGCTAGGTGAGACTGGCAGGTCCGGCCTCCAGCTCGTTCCAGGCATGAGCAGTCATTCAGAGGAGCTGGCTCCCTGGGGCACCTCTGCATAGCCGCCTTCAGATGTCTGTTGCCTGCGGTACACTTACTTTGTATTCACCTCACTGCTCCAGTTTGAGTTTCTTCAAAGACCTTCATCCTTCAGTTCAATCTTCTCCAGCAATCTAGATTCCCAGATCAACACAGGGTAATTCTGACAAAACCATGATTATTAATGTCAAATGTCTTTTTTTCTAATCAACAAATATCCCCAGTGTAAATTCTGTATTGTCCAGTGTTGAAGAAACATCTCTGGCCAGTTTCATTCGTGTCATTGAGATGGAGCTGTGACTCGTAAAACCAAACTAATTACTTCTTAAGGAATCAAATGTATTAAGAAAAAGTATTTTACAATTTAAAAAAAAAAATGATTAAGCAAAGAAATTAACCAACAATTGGTTAATAGGTATCTGCTACCATGTTTATAAGCTGTTTCCAGTATACATGGAAATGCGATTGGTAGTATGTCAATGAGTTAAATTTCCTCAATTTTGTTTTACCCCAGCATCAATAGAAATGAGTCGTCATCAATATTCCCTGAAAATATTGATATTGATACTGCCCTCATCACTGAAATGCAAAAGTTGCACAATAATCACTTCTCTTATTTCAACCTAAAAAAAATCATACTGCTTCTAAAGTCATTGAACGCTCTAATTGGCATTTGTGTGTTTTAAACCAGATGGATCAAAGAGCAGACACAGTTTTCCCAGAAAAGGTCCACTCAAACGGATATGCAGTAATTTCTTCATAAAACCAGAGCTGTTATAGAAATCCAGATTGCACTTTATCTAAAAGAGTTTTTGTTTTGCTTTTGATAATAAAGTTTTTGGGGGAGTGTAGCTCTGGTTTGGATTACTGAGTATGCTGACAGCCTGGTGCTTGCTGCTTACTGGAGAATCTGCTACTACTGATAATTACTTCAGCAACTGAGATCCATTTTTCTTCCCCTTCAATTTGCAAGATAAGCAATGGTCGATTATCCTACTGGAGTTGTGTTCGCTTAGTGGTTTTTAGCTGCTGGTGTAGATTGTTTGACAAAAAATAAATAAATAAATAAATAAATAAATAAATAAATGTAAATGTTATAATAATTCTTCTCTGTGTGTCACATTATGAAATTTATGACACACAGTATCAGTATCCTGGTGACCCAGCTGTGATAAATATAACTCTTTACGTACATTAATGTATTTTAGTGTAACCATGCAGGTCAGAACTGGGGCAGAAATTACATCTATCTGAATGATCCCAGAACTGTATCTGTTTCAAATAGCATGTTAGTTTTGAGCAGTCACTCAATATATGGTGAACTACAAGTGAACTTGACTCTTTATATAGCAGTTTTAAATCAATTGGTGGTCTGTTAGGTCTCTAACCCGCTTTTTACAGACACTTCATCACATGCTTACTTCTTCCTGGGTATATTAACATATATATGTTCACCCATTGAACTCACATTGGAGTGAAACGCTTTTCTTTCCTCTTGGACATTTTGTTCCTCTCTGATGGCTGAGATTGGTGTTCCAAACATAACATTATTCCTTCATGGCAAATGTGTGAGTGGCTCCCTTTTGCTTGCCATTTCTCACCTCGAAGTTTTTAGTTTTGAATAATTATGTCTCACCTTCATGAACGTCCCTTAAAACATTTTGTTGATTCATTCGACACACTTTCTATTCAGTTGAAAATTCTGCAACTTACTGCAACCTTTTAGTGTTTATCTTTGCAATTTGAGCATATGTTTCCTGCATTGATTAGGCCTGTTTACTTCCCCTCTGCTTACCCCCTCGGTGACCCAGTCCCCCTGAACTCCTTAGTGATGCTCGGCCCTGAGCCAGGATCCAAACTTGCTGCTTCTGTGTTACTTTCCCCCCACTTTCTCCCCTATCTGGTGTCCAGCGTAGCTCTGGACTCGCAGAGGAATTCTGCTCTCGAGACCTCTGGACACAGAGCCATCTTTTCCCTTGGATCCCACAAAAACACACAAGGCAGAGGAAGAACACACCAGTGACAAAGACGGAAACCGTGGAAACTGGCACCAACAACACACCCTCAGTTCAGAATATGTTGGTGTCCGGAATCACACTTCGA